TGACCGGCCCCGATGAGGCGGAAGGAGAAGCGGCTTCTGCAGGCGGTGGCGCTGGTGTTGGCGGCCCTGGTCCTTCTGCCCAACGTGGGGCTCTGGGCGCTGTACCGCGAGCGGCAGTCCGACGGCACCCCCGGGGGATCAGGGGCGGCGGTGGCCCCAGCGGCCGGGCAGGTGAGTCCCCCAGTTGCCATGGGGTTGGGAACACTCTACCCGAATTCACTTCTAGCCTGCAGTTCCTTCCTCCACCTTCCCCTGTCTGCCTCCTCACAGTCTGTGCCGGAGACTCTTTTGTTCTTCCCATTTATTGGAAGGGAAAATTGAGGCTCCGAGGACAGGGACTTGTCCAGGGCCTCACGCCAGTCAGACAGAGAACCAGAACTAGAAACCAGGAGTCCTCTATTTCTTGCCGTAGATTACAATCCTATCCCCTCACCTCTTCCAGCATCTTTCTCTTTTGAAGGGTTCTGTCAGCATCCCTGTATCCCAGGATGACTCCTTTTTCTGAGATGGCTGGTTCTTCTATTTGGTGTGCAAGTCTTTCTGCTTTTACCCCCACCTGCTGATCCCTGTGTTCCCTTTCCTGTTCAGCCCCTTTCGTGTTTTCCCATCTACCCAAGGAGACATCTGGGCCTCCCTCCTCTCCCCATTGGTTCACCCTCCCTCGTTCCCAGCCTTATTTCTTTCTCAGATCCTGTGGGTTCCTTGGAGGATGCAAAGATCATGCTCCTCTTGGAGCTTCAGGCCCTGGGTGTGGGAAAGGGAGTGAGCTCCTGGTCCTTGAGGGGCCTGCTACCTTTGACCTTCTGAGAGTCCAAAAGTGGGGCTCCGGTGGAGGGACCCCGCAAGTTTCCCAGAGGCTATTTGTGCCCAGTGCCCTGAGGATGGAACAGCAGATGCTTTCCCTGACCCTTCTCAGAGTACCCATGACTCCTTCTGAACTTGTCCAGCCTGATTAGGTGTGGTGGTTCTTGTAGATAAGACTGGGGTCTTAGTTGTTTCTGCCTCCTCTGAACTCACGCAACTCTGTGTGTGTGTGTGTGTGTGTGTGTGTGTGTGTGTGTAGGGGGTGTCACCCGTACGTATAGACTGATAGCGGAAGCTCTGTCAGGTCACTCCTGCCTCCCAGCTCCTGGCTCATTGGGTGCCAGTGAGCGTGTACATGCTTGAACTGTCTCAGACAGTGGGACATTTCAGGTTTTCTTATGGGATTTCCTTGGTCCCGTGGAAAGTGGACAATTTGTGCATCAGGGTCAAACTTAACTAATGGTTGGCAAGACGAGGGAAGAGGCTGACTTTTGAGATTGATGGTTTTCCTTTCTCTTCTCAGTATCAGGCTGCTGTCTGTGCAGTCTGGCATCTTGAGCACAGAGGGCTCTTTGCAACAGGGCTGACAATTTGAGTGCAGCCTGTCACTCTATAATTGTTGCAAACCATTTTGGAGAGCCTGGTTGATCTTTCTGGTAGATCTTACTGTTTGGAAACTAAAAGCCCCAACTCCTTTCCTAAACCCATGGTTCAAACCTTGACAGCCAACGTAGGTCCTTCTCCCTTAAATTCTGTATCCATATGGGTTTTTCCTTCATGAAATCGCCTTCTTCTATTCCCACCCTGTACCAGCGTCGGGGTCAGGAGGTCAGGGTTCTGTCCTCAGCTCTACCATTAACTTGCTGTGTGTGTCCTTAATCATCTCCCATCTCCCTCTCTGAGCCTCCCTTTCTCCATCTGTGAAGTGTGGTTATTGGTCCAGCTCCAGCCTTCTGTGATACTGTCAATGAATCAATGAGGACTACCATGGCTACTTCTTTTTTCTTTCCTGAGTGAGAAACCCCTTGTAGCATCCCTAGATGTGGGGGCTCCATCCTGGACACAGCCCCAGGTCAAGGGGAGAGCATCCTGCCCAAGTGCAAACTCTCCTTTGGAATCACTATAGCCAGTTCTAAAATAGCTCCTGACATTCTGCCTCTGCCTGGAGAAAGCCCTCGTATTTCATTTGCTGTGGATGCCAGAGACGTCCTGATTTTCATTTTCTGTAGACCCAGATGTGTAGGGAGAAGGTCAAGGTTAACTGCAGTTTGGCCTGAGCTTTCAAAGTAAATTACTCACTTGTGCAAGAGGGAATTGATTGAGTAAGGCAGCCTTTTGGGCAGAGAGAGGGGAGCAACAGCTGGATGCTGCTCGGAACCCTTAACTAAAATGGACAGATAGGCTCATCTGGGAGACTCATCTGGGAAGGTCTAGTTCTTGTTCATTTCTTTTTCTCTGGAATATCATGAAGAGGAAGAGGAAGAAGTGATAAAAGGGTTTGGGGTGGGGGAATGCCAGCTGATTATCCTTGCTTTAAAGAAAATCTCTTTGCCTTCTAAGAGCAGTAGTATGGAGCTGTTTCCCCAGTGGTAAGCTCTTCTAGGTACTGTAGGATTCAGCATTCATCTGCTGCCTTTCAGGAGCGCTCTGCCAAATTTCCACACAGCCCCTTTTTGTTTCACTCTCCTGCAGATGCACAGCACTGGCTTGGCCCCCAGTCCCTTGTTTGAATGTCAGCTGGCCTTGAGGGGAGAGGCTGACTTCTCAGAGCGATGGTGCTCCATCCCTCATCCCAGTGGACTGGAATGTGCACATGTCAGGCTGCTATCTGGGAAATCTGGCATCTTGAGCACACAGAGCTTCCTCGACAGGGCTGACCAGTCCTGAGCTCAGCCTGTCGCTCTTGTAATTGTTGAGAATTATCCCAGAGCACCTTGTTGATCTTTCTGGTGGAAATAACTGCAGAGGCCCTGGAGGGAAGTCTGACAGGACTTTATCCAAATGAAAAATATACTCCTTGTGGGTTGGAGAGAAGTTTCTTTGCGGGTAACATACCCACTGTTTGAGCAGTCCTTTAACTCCTCGATTTCTCCACTGGATTGAAGAGTTTCAGATTAAGAGCCTTTATTGTCTGCTGAAACGTAAGTAACTGTCATGCTAGCTCATCCTGGGTATACCTCTGGAGCTGGGTCGGGCAGCTGATTATAAAGGACACATAATGCTTCTAGGATTTCAGCATTCGTCTGGTCAGACAGCTGGCTTCTTGGAAAGCTGCAAAACCAAGCAAGAAAAGCCAGTCTTGAAACCATCATTTTAATTTGGTGGTAGTGGGGTCCCTCTCATTCCTAGCCCCAATCTGTTTAACATCTTGATGTAATTCTACAGTCTGTTTCATATTCCAGGTTTGGGCACTGGCTATTAAAAACCCATATTAGGAAATGTGATGCGGTTCCTCCCCATTTCTGAGCCATAATCTCTTGTGAGAAATGACTTCATTGGCTAATAGTGACTGTGGAATAGAAATTGGTGGGATAATGGAATACCAATGACTTTAATTTCCAAGTCTCAAGAGTTTTTCTCATTGTATCAGAGCTGAACTTTGTTCTTAGAACATCCAGAAATCAATACTTTTTTCCTCCTTTTTTCAGTTTTTTCTGGTGCCAGAGCCTTACCCTTCAGAAAGTTAAGTACTATAGAAATACAGCCTTGGAATGATTTAATTTTCCACAGAGGGGCTAGGATCCTTTAGATTGTTAATCACGTCTCTGTCTGCATGCCCAGCTGAAATCTGATGCCACTGGGAAGGGTAGTTGATTTACCTAAGTAAATCTGGCTTCCTGCATTCTTTCTGTCATCCTGGGTTTGCAATCTCCCAAGGAGCCCAGCTGAGGAAGGCCTGGGAACAGAGGCCTGGGTTCTACTTCCCTCTCCTGCCCTAAACTCACTGTGTGACCTCAGAAAAGTGGTTTAACCTCTCTGGGCCTTGGATTCCTCATCTGTGAAGTGAGGGTTTAGACTCAGAAGGGGAAAGGTTAATGTGTGTCACGGTGCTTCCCCTTCCCTGGCTGGGGCAGACATTTCTAATCTATCTGTTTCCCACTAAGGCTAGACCTGGCCTCAGGCTGTTTCTCAACACTGCTATTCAGTGGAGTTAATGGCATATTGAAACTCATTTGCAATGCAGGGAATAGATACTTTGTTAGGACTTTTCCAACTCAAACATCCTGGTGTTCCGTGAGTTTGAACATCCTGGTGTTCCGTGAGTTTGGAAGTGTGTGTTGGGAAGGCCTGGAAAGTAGAAGTGTGTTTAAACAGGCCTCCGTATCTAACTTGTGATAAGGCCACCATTTAGGGATATGTTCATACTCATATGCCTTCTCTCAGGCTGTGGTCTAAGGATGTTCAGCCTTTAATCTGTTGGCTCCAGTGACACAATAACCAATAATGGAATCAGGAATGAAAAAGCTAAGGTCCATTTAAAAGATAACCATCTAGCTTCCTAATTGTACCTTGTCCACAGTTAGCTCTTACACAGAGATGGCATCAAGATCTCATCACTGAAAAGCATCCTGAGACAAACTTGGCAGCCAGAAGTATGTCCCATGACAGCCAAATGCTCATGATGGTGTTTGCAGTGGGTTCTGTATCTTGTATATATCTGATCCTCTGTATCCCATATATGTGTCAGAGCCAGTCAGGGAAGAGTGGATGGGTAAGGCTCTGCCCCCAGGAAGACTTAAATAAGAGTCTTGTTTCTCAGGGAACCACTGTCCTCATGTGCAGTGGAGTGGGGAAAGGAGGTAGCCTGTACAGGGCTGAGTTCCTGTGGCCAAGGAGTGCACTGTGGGAGCCACATCCTCTTCTAGCACATGGCATAAGGTTTGACGCTTGGAAGACAGTCACAATGTGTTTGCTGAATGATCAATATGTGTCAGAGCAGGAAGAGGGCTTCCTCATCTAGTCCGGCTCTCACATTTTGTAGGTACAGAAACTAAGGCCCAGGAGAGGGGAAATCAGTTCTCAGAGGGAGGATTGCAGACCAGAACCAAATTCTTCTCCATGTTCTTGTTCCATTTCGCCATGATATTTTTTCCCTCTACATCTTAGTAATTTGATCCTTCTCTACCATTATTTCCTTTATGAGCCAAGATTATCACTCCCAGTTTTGGAGGCCAGTACTTATTGAGACCAATTATCTGCTGGAACTTACCTGGCTTTTTTGCAGATCCATTTTTGTAAACTTTCTTCCCAAATTTTTATAGTTTTAAAGCAAGTAAAATGGATTAATTTTTAAGGTGGCAAAGGGATCCAGCGGAGGAATAGAGGTATTAAAAGGATGCATAGCCCATGGCACCATTGCTGCTGTC